TAGTGCCCACGTGCTGCTATGAAGCCTCCATATGAACTTGAAGCGGGATCCTCCAAAGCTTGTCGGATCGCCTCCAAGTCTCCTTGATGTGCATTCAATAAATTTTCATAAGGTGTAAGCACTATCAAAGAATCAAGCTTGTTAGACATAAATGAATCAAATGCATTTAATAAAAATTCTAACAATCCTCTCTCCTAGGCGATAGCCCTAGTGAGGTTTGCGAGTTCGAATCTATTAATGATTTACATAATGATGAACTTGCTTTTGCTAGTAATAAATTATTGCGTGCCTACAAGAAATTGCAAAATGATTTCATTAATCTTAAAAGCAAGCATGAAATTTTAAAATCCGATCATGAGTCTTTAGCTTCTAAGTTTGATACTATTTCTAATGAGAATATGATCCTTAAAGAAAATAATGAAAAATTAAAATTGGATCATGATTCTTTAATTTCAAACTTTGGTAAGTTAACTCATGAGAAAGATAATGCCATGCTAGAAATAGAATACATTAGAAATGAATTTGATTCTTTTAAGAATAACCATACATGCTCTACTTCTATTATCAATGATGGTGTATCTAATGATGAGTTGAATCATGTGAAAAACCGCATATCTTGTTTAAATTCAACCTTAAACACATGCATTGATAATCATAAGAAACTTATGGACTTGTGTGCAAAATCTAATGCAAACTCTTCTAAGAAACATATACACCATGCACACTTGTATAGCAAATTTTACAAATGCTCTATTTGTGATCGTAAAGGCCATTTATCTAAATTTTGCTATGATGCACAAAAATCTAAAAATAGTAATATTAATGCTTCTTGTGCATCTCATAAGGCTTCTTCATCACATACACATGCACATACTCATCATGTTCATCATAAGCATGCTCATGTGTTTAAATGTGATATTTGTGATCGTTTTGGTCATTTGGCCAAGTATTGTTTTGATTTAAAAAGAAAATCTTATTTGCCAAATGTTTCTAGTAGGCCACATGTTTTTAGATGTGATGTTTGTGGTAGATATGGCCACTTAGGAAAGTTTTGTTTTGATAAGGTTTCGCATTTGCAAAATAATTTTAAAAGACCATCCATGTTTGCAAATGTTTCTAATGTTTTCCGTGCATATTTTGAGACACCTATTTATCGTGACATATCATTATGTGTTCTCATTATCTCTTGGATGTGAGTGATTTTTGGCATATTATTTATGCATGCTCACATATGTTTGCCATGATATTCATTTCATATATTCCATATGGCATTTTGATAGGGGGAGCAATCCCTATATCCTTTTATGTTTTATACTCACCTATGCTTATTGATAGGGGGAGCTTTCGCTCTCTTATTCCTTTGTCCCCTTTTTGATGTTGTCAAAGGGGGAGAAATATTGTGAGTATATTCTTTCTTGTTTATATGCATGTGAATTATAAATTATATGTTCATTTCCTTCATGCATATATTCCTTTTTGTAAATTGTTTGTCATCATCAAAAAGGGGGAGATTGTTGGCCTTCTTGTTTTGATGATGTTTAACAAACAATTTACCACTAATGTTGTTTGTCTAGTATTTGTGTTTTCTTATTTATTATAGACAAACAACGTTGTTGGAGGATGGATGGAATAGAGCTTCAACGATCATATCCAAAGGAGGTTGGCGGAATGTCGGTGAAGCCTTGCTATTCAAAGTTCAAGATCCAAGTTAAAGCTTCATCCGCAAGATTACCTAGAAGAGCATATTGAAGACCAATCAAGCTTGGGTAATTTAGTTTAGGAGTTTATATTATGTGTGTTATATACTCTAAGCTCAATTATCTATACACACACATTTATTGGTTTCTTCGTATATATATATATAGTCATATATATATATATAAGTTTTGGTTTCTATGCATATATATAGTTATATATATACATACATATGTTTTGAGTTTTTATGGTTATATATATGAAATTCTATATTTCATATTTTCTATTATGTTTTTGAAAACATTGCATAGAATATGCAATTTTGTGAAAATATTGTATTCTTAGTTTATAGACTTCAATATCAGTTTATACATGTTTTACTAAGTCTACAAAAACATTTCACAAAGTTTCAAAAGTTGGTTTATGTCAAAACATCAAAATTCAAGTATCTCATATTTTCATATTTTGGACTAGTTTGTAGCATGTTTATTATCATGTCTACAATCATTCCCAAAAGTTTTACATTTTTCTGAATTTATTTGATATTTTTAAACAGGGTTTTAAAATCAGCTCTAAAACCGATTTTTCTAGAATGTCAGTTTTCGGTCGACCGGTACGGTCGACCGTCTAGAATGTCAGTTTTCGGTCGACCGGTACGGTCGACCGGTCAATTGACCATTCGTCAGTATTTTTTCCAGAGAGTCGTCGGTCGACCGGTCCGGTCGACCAAGAGCTCAAATCGGTCGACCGACAGAATTTCCGGTCGACCGACGTTAGTCCAGAAAGTTTTCTTCGTGTTTTTGCTCTCATCGGTCGACCGACGGGATTTTCGGTCGACCGACAATATGACCGTTGGACTTCTAACGGCTATTTCTGAGCTGGTTTTTCTGGGGGCCTTTTGGTCTTTTTGTTTTGGGGTTTTGGCTGAGGTTTTGTGTTGGTATAAATACCCCTTTGCTGTTTTCTTTTAACTTAGACCGACGGGATTTTCGGTCGACCGACAATATGACCGTTGTCTTTTAACGGCTCTTTCTCTGAGCTGTTTGCTGGGGTTTTTGGTCATTTTGTTTTGGGGGTTTTTGGCTGAGCTTTGAGTGGGTATATATACCCCATTGCTGATGTCTTTTCAACTAAGCTAAGAAGTTTTTAAAGAAGTTTTTAAACAAGGTTTTAAACAAGGGTTTAAGCTTGTTTTTGTTTGGTTTAAGTTTGTTTTGGTTTGCTGTTACAAAGAGGAGTTTACAATCAGCTATTGAAGAGTTCATCTTCAACATTTCATCATCCTCTCTTTGTGTTTATAGAGAAGTTTCCTTAACTCTATTTCCTAGCATTTTTACTATTGAATTTCATATCAATTTTTATTGCTAGTTCTTATTGAGTTAAGTTTTATTGAATCTCATTGTTACACACACCCACTTGAGCTTATTGTATTTGCATACATAGTATATTAGGGTTGTGAGAGTTGTAACATTGAGTGTGAGCTTTTATTGTGTTCTCATCTGTATTAGAGAACAAATCATTTGTTGTTACATTGTGAGTGTTGTAGAGTTTTCGGTTAGCTAGAAAACCGTACTGTAAGAGTGGAGTGTAGCCACATTGTAAGAGTGTGAGTGGAGATCTCCTCGAGGTGAGGAGCGGAGACGTAGGTCGAGGGGACTGAACTCCGTGAGAGAAATTGTGAGGTGTAAACGTTGTTTGGGTGAGCGTAGAAAACCCGGTTGTGATAGTGGATTCTCCCCGGGAGTGGGGAGCGGAGACGTAGGACGGAAGGTCCGAACTCCGTGATCATCTTTGTGTGTTTGTGATTGTCTTGGCGTCTCACTTGTGCTTATTATTCATATCATTCTTGTCGCCATTATCTATTGTTCACATTGTCCACTATCTTGTTTATCTTGTTTATGTTTATATCACCCTTAGTTTATATATCCTTACATATATATATTTCATCATATAGGATATATCACTTTGTATATATTGCTTATTCTTGCTTATAACTCTTGTATATCTATCTTGCAAGAATACAACTTGTTAATTAATTTTAATTGGCATTTAATCGGATTAGATTAGCATAAGACCCTAGGGTCTAACAAAGAATACTTGGGTGCCAAAATAATTTTTAAAGCCAAGAATTTTAGTATTTTTTCTTTTTCTTGGTTTCGAAAAATATATTTTAAACTTTTATGAAAACAATTCCTTTTATTGGTTAAAATTTTTTGTTTTCATGATTATTTGACTTGCTTTCATGAGAGGACTACGTTTATATAACCCTCCGGATTTATTGGGTGTTTATTCCCAAATCATG